ACGAGAAGTGCAAAAACGCATAATCGCACCGGCCCGCCTGGTGCGTTCCAGCCTGGGTTTTTTCTTTAAAAGGTGGCTCGCGAGCTTAAGTAAGTATGTAAATCAAGCCCGCGCGTCGCCAAAGGTTGCCCATGTCTGCTGTAAACTAAAGCATCAAAATGCAGTGTGGTCTATCGTGTTTTAAGCGCAGTTAATAACCTGCATAAATTAGAATAAAAACACAACAATGTAGGACAGTAGTGTACAGTGGTATAGTGCAGTGCAGAGTTTGTTTTCAGAAAAAAAAAATTTCGACACACAAAATTTTGTCAATTATTTGAAATTTGTAGGAAGACAGTTTGCCTGATCATTTACGGCGGCCATTGCATACCACTGTCACTTCGTATTTTCCGAAAGTGAAACTGAAACTCAGTGAAAATTATCAACGCTGAAACTGTTGTTGTAAAATAATTCATAAAAAAAAAGAGATGTCAGGCACTTCCGGGAAGCAAATTGAGAAAGAAAATTTGATGAGTTGTGGAATTTTTTTTTATAACCTTAAAAGCGGCAATTAAGCAATCGAAATAAACTCGAAATAAAATTTTGAGCATTTTCAAGGGCTTTCCTCGAAATACCTCATTTTAATCCGTTAATTACTGCTGTTAATAAAGTCGAAACTCCTTTTTTATTCGGCTTTCTATTAGAAGCTAAAGCACTCGGGAAATAACCTGAGCGATGGTAAATGAAGCAATCAGCAAGAACTAGCAGCAACTACGTGCTAACAAGGCTATCGATGGCAACCTCTTCTGAGAATTGCTTACACACAAGCTAAAAACTAATCTAACTACCTGGCATTTGTCAAAGCACGCTGTTTCACCTGATAAAGTAAAAAGTCAAAAATATAAAGTTAATAAAAAATGTCAATGAAATCTTCAAGATGATACTCTGAAAGCAATTTTTTCTGAATTGAAACAGAGGGGACGAAAAGAAGTCAGTGGAAGAAGCGGGCTTCTGTTTTACAAGAGATCCGTTGTGATACTGCCCCTCACTAGAAATAAGAAGTAAGGAGCGAGCAAATTTGTGAGGAAACGGACCGAGGAGGCTTCGCAAACATTTTTACGATTTTTGCATTTCTGCAGAAGTAAAATCATTATACTACCAGTTTTTGGGTAGTTTTTTTAGCCAGAAATCCTTGCTGATCTTTTCCAGCAAAACTTTGTGTTTATCAGATAGCTGGGAACCAGATCATGAATTATAACAAATCCTCTTACGTAACTTTAAACAGAGGTCAAAAAAAACCTTTTTTTTGGCAACAGTTGGGAGACGAGGTGGTGACGCTCAACACGTACCATTGATTTTACAGCTCTCTACAACCTTGTCAAAGCGCTTCTATTAGGAGAACCATTAAGTGGGTAACCTCTTTGGGACGGGAAAAGAGCGTCAGGATAATCGTCAAAAGGCTGATAACCAGTCGATACAGCAAAATCATGTTATGAAGAAGGATCATTGGGTACTCGTACCAGTCGGACCGCTGTGATCATGAGTTTTTACAGTATTTCGTGCTAAAGTAAGATCGCCTGGAATCTATAGAGTTTGTGAAATACTGGCCTCGAATTTCGAGAAATTAATTGTGCAACAATGTTATGCTTGGTGGTAAATATTAACATTTCTTTGGGTTTATTTTGATACTGGGTTTTTTTTTTTCTTTTTGAAAAATATCTAATTTGCAAATAAAAAAACATTTTTTGGAGCTCAATCTAAAGTAGGGAAAATACTGACTTTTATTGTTTAATAGGTTTACGTTGTTCGCGTGAGTTCATCAGCAGCAGTGGATGCACGAATCGGGCATTGCTGGGCTCGCGATGAGCGGTCGACCCTGCAGCTTTCCGATGACAATGGTTGCAGCTTGCAACGTGTCGGTGAAGTGTGGAATGAATTTCAGCGTAACGAACAGGGCACGGATATTATTTTCCGGAATCAAATTAAGGCCTGGGCTTTCCCAACAAGGTTACCCGGATATTTCTGGATATCTCTCTCTTGGATTTTCCACCATTTTGTGCCTGAAAATGAAGCATATCTATTTTCTCAAGAAAAGAGACCCTACTGGTTCCTCGCAAATGTTAGCAATACTACGTGTCTGGCTTACAAATTCTTAGTCCAACCGGCTTTTTTTTGCGCAGGGGCTTGTACTTCATAGGAGTTGATAGAATTTACAAATGTTGGATTTACTTTTATATAAGTTTCTTGGACGATAGTTATTCATTAAGGAAAGAAGAGGGGAAGATATTTCCAGCATTATTTTTAAATATTTATTTAATACTAAGTGCTTAGTTACTTTTTAGGTTTAAGTAAAACTATAAATGCCATTTATAAGCAGTTATTAGAAGGCAATGAAATGTGTTGCAAATTTTAAAGGCTGTTATTTATAATATATGCAAAAAAAAATATTTATCTATGACTGAGACGATTCGGCCCAATAAGCTCTGTACGTCTTAGCGCCACAGGCGGGATCTTATTTTTGCAAATAGATTTTAGAAAATATTTAAACAGATTTTTAACCCTTAATTTATACCGTGATCGGCCTTATAGCGAATTTTCGTTATAGCTTATTAGCAAAACATCTGCTTCTCCAGCTATGGAGCTGAAAAATTTGACCAGTGTTGCATCGTTTTGGTGACCAGCTTGCTGCTGGCGATCCTGGCGTTCATTTTCATCTCCTGATGGGACTATCAGTTCAACGGGTCCCGAAACAAAAGCAATTTGCAAG